GAAACTAAGATCCCGCATGCCAGTCAGCCCTGCCAAAAAAAAAAAAAAAAGGATATGCAAGCATACTTTTCTAAGGAGAAAGTCCACAGTTATCTTTGTATTTCCAAAGGAATCTATGATCCTTAAAAAAGATTAAGAACTACTGACCTAAACCCAGGAAGAGCACCACTCCGCTCTCCGTAGCCCAGTCAGGGGGCTCAGCTGTAATCCTGTTCTTCTTATAGCAGACCCCTGAAGGCCAGACTTCAGGGAGCCACCTCTGGGGAGAACCACTGCTTATTTATTTATTTAAAAATATTTATTTATTTATATAAATTATTTTGGCCGTGCCGGGTCTTAGTTGCGGCATGCGGACTTCTTAGTTGTGGCATGTGAACTCTTAGTTGCGGCATGCATGCGGGATCTAGTTCCCCGACCAAGGATCGAACCCAGGCTCCCTGCACTGGGAGCACAGAGTCTTACCCACTGGACCACCAGGGAAGTCCCATACTACTAGTATGGGAGGTCCCATACTACATACATATTTACTTATAAAAATGACTTCTGCATTAAAACATAACCAAGTGTATCTTATTGAGAGATTTATCAGGACTGGGGGAAATAAATTCTTAATTGTGTATGCCTGATAGCTTAGAAACTGTCTTTCTATTGTTAATGTCATCAGTGATATATTAAAAGCAGTAGGTACCATTTATTGAGCACTTATGAACTGCTTTACATGTATCTAATATAATCCTTTCAACAATCCTATGAAGTTGGTACATAGCCAATTAAGATTGAGACATTTGACCAAAATCACATAGTTATTAAATGGTAGAGCAATATTCAGATATAGGTCTGTTTGACTCTGAGGTCCATGCTCTTAACCTCTATGCTGTTACTGTGTAATACTGGCTCTGGATACCTGCTCATGGTAGTAAATTTAGAAATATAGGAAGGAACTTCCTTTTTTTTAACACATTTCACACTTGTAATCACTTGTTCCATGTTTTTCCTCTACTGGACCATGAATTCTTGCTTATGATGTTTTCAGTCTCTCCCCATCCTCTACTGGTTTAGCCCCTCTTCTCCCTTTTCGCACTTCCCATGACAGAATCTGTCACTCTGTACTTAATTGTTGTACTTACTTATCTTCATCCCTGAGTAGACAGACTGCGAGCTCCATGTGGGGAGGGATTATTTCATACTCATTTTTGTACCTCTGTTATCTGTCTAGCTCAAGTTCTAGTATTTAGTAAGTACTTAATAAGATGAAATTCCTATAACTCCATTGTTAAGATGTATCTATTATTAATGTATTCTTTTCTTTTATCTCTTCTTCTTAATAAATTTGGGATCATGTTGCACAGGCAGTTTTGTCTATGATTTTTATTCTATGAGCATTTTCCCAGATCACATTGTATTTATCCAAAACATAGATTTTTTTTAAAGTCTTCATGAGGTCATATAATAATACCTCCCCTCTAAACAAAAATAATAGAATTCATGTGGAAAAATAAGAATAGTGAAGAAGATAAGAGTAATGCAGGCAGATTTGTTGTTCTAGTATTACAAGTCATATTTTGTATGACAGGAATAGATGAATGGAACAGAAATTCCAGAAACGGACTGACGTGTATATTTAAGAATTTAATATTTCATAAAAGTAGCATTTGGCATTAATTGGGGAAAGGTTGGATTTTTTTTCAATAAAGAGCAATGTTAGAATGACTTGTTAACCATTTAGAAATAAAGCCTAAGTTCTGTTATGTTAACATTAAGTAGTTATTTTAGATGTATATATGGATGTGTATGATGTCCAGGGAGAGGAGGGAAGAATTAATTTTGAGAGCTACTTATCTAACCAGGGTAAAGCCAAAGATTGTTTTTCTCTTTTAGAATAAGCCAGTGATAGCTTCCCAAAGGAGGTAAAAATTCAGTGCTTCCTAGCATGAAAGAATTTGGAAGTCTAGATTCGAAATTTATTCTTAAAAAAAAAAAATTTTTTTTTCTTGAGAAGAGGGTAACAGAAGCCCTGAAAGTGACTCATATATTTTGGAAAGGTAAAAGTAGCATTGAATAATCTGAAAAAACATAAGAAGGTAAAGTATTTTTTTAAAAAGAGGAGAAAAAGAAGAGGTTGACTATTTTGCATGACTTGGTGAATTTGAAGAACCACCTAATGTTAAACAGCTCATAAGGAGGGAGGAGCGTGATTTCGGCACTGCTGCTAGAGAGAGACTCATTTTACACCCTGAGGGGACAAATCAGAAAAAATGACCAAGTCCTAGATGAACTTACACGTAAACAGTGAAAAGAAAGCAAATTCAGCGGATAAACTTCCTTTGATAATAAAGGAAGTAGTGAGAGTGGAATAAATGGTTAATTCATAAGTTTTCTGGAGTTTCTTAGACACTCCATCTAATCATATAATGTGCCCAGCGGAAGTTGGGTAAAGGTTTTTGCCGTCATGTTATTGGGTATTTTTCCTGTAGCTCCTAAAATGTACTTGGCAGGAAGAAGAGCAGTAGTTTAAAATTACAGCTTAGTTCAACATAAGGAATTTGGGGGTTTGCGTTTATTTTTTGGCAGAAGTTGACACTGTTAAATTTTAGATGGTATGTCTAAATTGACACTGTTAAATTTTAAATTTAACAGTTAAATTTAACTGTTAAATTTTAGATGGTATGTCTTCTGCTGATCCCAGCTCTGATTGGAATGCGCCAGCAGAAGAGTGGGGAAATTGGGTAGATGAAGAAAGAGCTTCACTTCAAAAGTCCCAGGAACCAATTCCTGATGATCAAAAAGTGAGTAAAGGGATTAGTGGGTATGTTTATTTCTCTGTGCAACCAACTGTATTGGAATTATTAAGGGTTACATTCTGTATTACAAATATATCCAGGGGTAGAGTTGCTTCAGAGAGACATTCTAATCATATTTGCTTCAGTCATCTTAGGTCCACATGCCTTCTCTCCATTACTGTTTCTTCTTTCCACAAATTATTGAGGATTCTACTATGTGGAAAGCACTATTATAAGAAAAAAGTTAAGAAAAAAGACACACAATTCCTGTCCTCATCAGAATTATTATAACAGCCTACCAACTCTTAGTGTGTTTAGAGAAGAGTAGACTGGTTCTCAATGAAAAATTAAGGAAAGCTTCATAGCAAGATAAGACTGAGAACCTTATGAAAAAGGGACCAAGGCAGGAAAGTAACATGTTTGGTGGAGAGGTGTAATACACGTGTGGCATCAATTGGTGGTAGGATCAATTGTTTGTATGTCAGTCTTCCCTTTCTAGGCTTCATTCCTTAAAGAAAGGGGCCGTGAAGTTTTTATTTTTGTAGCTCTATAAACTAGAGCTACAAAACATGATTCACATTCAGTAAATGAATAAATAGATGAAATGAGTGATATATATGCCTTGCCACATTTTTATGGAATTCTAGAAGTAATGAGAACCTACTGACAGCTTTTAAACTAGGGATAACCTAATCATTGCTAGGGTTAGAAAAATTAGGCTGGGAGCTTCCCTGGTGGTCCAGTGGGTACGACTCCAAGCTCCCAATGCCAGAGGCCTGGGTTTGATACCTGGTTGGGGAACTAGAATCCTGCTTGCTTGCTGCAGCTAAGAGCCCTCATGCTGCAACTAAAAGATCTCGCATGCCGCGACTTCCCTGGTGGTCCAGTGGCTAAGACTCCACACTCCCAATGCAAGGGGCCCAGGTTCAATCCCTAGTCAGGGAACTAGATCCCACATGCCGCAACTAAGAGTTCAAATGCCACAACTAAAGATCCCGCATGCCACAACTAAAAAAAGATCCCATGTGCCACAACGAAGATCCCGCACACAGCAACAAAGGTCCCGCGTGCCGCAACTAAGACCCAACACAGCCAGCCAAACAAACAAACAAAAAAGTAAATAAAAGAATAAAAAGATCACTCATGCTGCAACTAAAAAAGATCCTGCGTGCTGCAACGAAGATCATGTGTGCCACAACTAAGACCTGGCACAGCCTAAATAAATAAATTTTTTGGGACTTCCCTGGTGGCGCAGTGGTTGAGAGTCCGCCTGCCGATGCAGGGGATACGGGTTCGTGCACCGCTCTGGGAAGATCCCACATGCTGCGGAGCAGCTGGGCCCGTGAGCCATGGCCGCTGAGCCTGCACGTCCGGAGCCTGTGGTCCGCAACAGGAGAGGCCACAACAGTGAGAGGCCCGCGTACCGCAAAAAGAAAAAATAATAATAATAAATAAATAAATAAATTTTTTGAAAAAGAAAAGTTAGGCTGGATATAGCAAAAATGAGAAGACTGGTTTGGGAGGCTATTTTATACTATTTTGATTTCATGAATCAGGAGGAGATAATGAACTAAGTTGATAGCTTTGAAAAATAAATGGAAGTGGTTATTTACAAGAGACATTAAGCTACTGATCGAACTTTTCTACTGGTTGGTTATAGAAAGAAGGGTGGAAAGTCAAAGAGGCTCTGAAGATACTAGGGCCATTATTATTCAACAGACATTAATTGCATCTGCCATGGGTCAGGTATTGTGCTAGTAGAGAAACGACACAATTACTGCCTTCGAGGAGCCTACAGTCTAGTTAGGGAGGAGAGGAGGGAGACAGGCACATTGGAAGATAAAAGTAATGTTATAATGTGTTAGGTATTATGGAAGCACTTCGGCGTTTTAGCAAAGGCATCCCAGAGGTTAAAGCAGAATGTGTAGCAAAGAGTGGTCAGAAATGAGACTGGAAAGGGAAGCAGAAACTAGATTCTACAAGCCCTTGAATGTCACCTTTAAAACCTTGGATTTCCCGCCTGCCAATGCAGGGGACACGGGTTCGAGCCCTGGTCCAGGAAGATCCCACATGCCGCAGAGCAACTAAGCCCATCTGCCACAACTACTGAGCCTGTGCTCTAGAGCCCGCACTCTAGAGCCCGCATACTGCAACCACTGAGCCCGTGCGCCTAGAGCCCATGCTCCACAACAAGAGAAGCCACCACAAAGAGAAGACCGTGCACCACAATGAAGAGTAGCCCCCGCTCACCGCAACTAGAGAAAGCCGTGCACAGCAATGAAGACCCAGTGCAACCAAAAAATAAATAAATAATTAATTTTTTAAACAATTGTTTTTAAAAAAAAAACCAAACAAACAAAAATGACTTCCAGAATTGTAGCTTAGGTAACTGGGATGGTGCAAGTGGTGCTCCCAACAGAGAAAGCAAAAGCTAGTTAATTGGGGGAAGATGGTTGGTTCAGTTTGGGATGTGTTAGATGTAAGGTGTTTTGTAGATATGCCTAAGAAAAGTTGGTTGCAACAGGTTAAAGCTTTGGGAAAAGATTTGTGTTTGGAAGTAATTAGTATATGGTTGTTAAAACTTTGAGGGTGAGTGAAATGTGTAGAAAATTTATTTATAGAGTTGAAAAGAGCAATGTAATGAGCATAGAAATCCGGGGAACTCCCAACTTTTAAGCCCATGAAAGGAACTGAGGGAGGAGAGTTCTGGGACACAGAGGCTGAGACATTTGCTCTCTGGTAATTTAGAGCAGTTTGATTAGAAACCTTGGACTGGTAGCCAGTCGGAGTACGTTGAGTAAAATGATGGTTAAAAAATAATATTTTTTTCTTGGGACTTCCCTGGTGGTCCAGTGGGTAAGACTCCGTGCTCCCTATGCAGGGGGCCCGGGTTCAGTCTCTGCTTAGGGAACTAGATCCCTCATGCTGCAACTAAGACCTGGTGCAGCCAAATAAAAATAAATTTTTTTTTTTAAGATTTTTTTTTAAGATTTTTAAGATTTTTTTTTAAGATTTTTTTTCTTAACCAAGTTTGGGTATGGATGGAGGAGAAGTAGTGGATAACAGCAAACTGTGGTATGATGAGGGGTTTTGTTGGGGTCGTTTGTATTTTAATGATAGGAGAGATTTTAGTGCAGGGGTCAGCAAACTTATTTAAAGGGCCATGCATTAGTGCAAAAGCAGCCATGGACAGTATGGATGGATTATAAATTGGCTGAGAAGCAGACTGACCAGAGTCCTTGTGACCTGAATATCCTTCAGAGGATGCATCTTTTCATATGACATTTTAATCATTGTGAGCCTATGGTAAAAACTTCTGTGGAAGTTTCTCCACAACTAGCAGCCAACTTGGACTGAAAGTCTCTTAGCTAAGTTTAGCAGGATTTGTGCAGGATTTGGTTTTGTTTTGTTTTTCCATTTGCTAGTAATTTCTGTAAACTATTTGATGGTTCATGAGACCTCCAAAATCATCCTAATGACTATGGTGCTGAGCAGAGAAATAGCAAGTTAGTTATATCATCTCTCCCTTTAAGTAGAGTCTAAGAATCTTGGCTGTCATCTGTACAGAATAATCTAAACGCACTTTTCCATAGAAAACTCAGCTATATGGTATGTGTGAAGAAATATCATTCATACTAATTTAACAATTCTAATTTTGCTTTTCTTGTCATGCAGAATATTATTTTCAATGACATTCCTTCTCAAATTCAATTTTTTTAATTAAGCCTTTTGTTTTGAGGTGATTATAGAGTCACATGTACTTTTTAAAATATTTTATTTATTTATTTTGGCTGTGCTGGGTCTTCATTGCGGCATGCGGGCTCAGAGTTGCTGCATGCAGGCTTCTTGGTTGCGGCATGCTACCTCTTAGTTGTGGCCTGCATGTGGGATTTAGTTCCCTGACCAGGGATCGAACTCAGGGCCCCTGCATTGGGAGCACAGAGTCTTACCCACTGGACCACCAGGGAAGTCCCAGAGTCACATGTACTTGTAAGAAATAATACAGAAAAATCCCTTGTACCCTTTACCCAGTGTCCCCCAATGGTAACATCTTGCAAAAGTGTAGTACAGTGTCAAAACCAGGACGTTGGCATTGACACAGTCAAGATACAGAACACTTCTAATGTCTTTTGTGAAATGTCTGTTGTATCTTTTGCACACTTTCTAATTGGATTGTTTATTTGTTTATTGTTGAATTTTGAGTGTTTTTTTATATAATCTAGATACAAGTCCTTTGTTGGATATGTGGTTTACAAATACTTTCTCCTACTCTGTAGCTTGTCATTCTCTTAACAGGGTCAAGTTCAGTTTTAATGCAAATAGTTCTATGTTTAAATAAAATGAATTACCTAAGAAACGAGTTTTTAAAAACCAAGGTTTGCACAGCTGTCTAATTGATCATGTAGTGAGTGATGCAAGATGTAAGAAAAAGAGATTTATTGTAATAGAAGAGTGAAGTTCCATGCACTTTTGTTATTTTTTGAGTATGTGATTTCAGATCAGTTTTATTGTTACTAATTCTTATTTAGAATTTGGGAGAAAAAGACTGCACCTAATGAATTATTTCATAATAATTTTCTGAATAATGAAAACTTAACCAGTTGGTTCACTTCGGTATTTTTGCTTTTAACATCAGGTTTCAGATGATGATAAAGAAAAGGGAGAGGGAGCTCTTCCAACAGGGAAATCTAAAAAGAAGAAAAAGAAAAAGAAGAAGCAAAGTGAAGATAACTCTCCTGCACAGGTAAAGTATAAAGCAACAGACATCATTCATTAAGCACCTACTGCCGACTTGTGAAAAGATAATTTGCAGATGCTGAGAAAATGTAGAGATATAAAGACACCATGTGAGACATCAGATTTACTTGAGAAGCATTTGAAAAGTCATAGAATGTTTTAAACATTTTATGTGTCATACTGTAATAAAAATGTTACTGCTCTAAAGAAAATATCAAAGGTATAAACCAAAAGCAAATAACTAAAATTCTAAATTAGATGCATTTTAGTTTATATTATGATGAAATGGAACAGGGGGTACAGTATTTCACACATACAGAAATTCTTTGAGTAATGGAATTTAGCAAATTAGAATTTTAGCACATTTAGAAGAACCATGCGCATAACAAGTGGAGTCTTTCCCTTGACTCTGAGTTTGCTGGCTGTTCGACTTGGTATCCTTTCCTGATTTTTTGGCTTCTAACAGAAAGTTTCTATTTATATCACTCCTACATTTTCCTTTTCTTTTCTTTGGTTTTTCCTATCTGGGAAAGTATTTTTAGATCATTATATAGTTGAAAACAAAGATTTTAATTTCAAATGTACTAGATTACTGGAAATACGCATGGATTTGTTTTTGAAAGCATTATCACTATTACATTACAACTTATGAAAATCTTATTTCTTACTTACAACAGTGTGGCTAATTGTTTTCATTCCTTTAAATGTAGGAGATAACCAGAATTTCTAGAGGATAGGCTACATAGTAATTTTCCTACTTATTCTATTTGGAAAAAATTTCAGCGTGACTTTTTAAAGAAGCATGTGTTCAGTTCTTTTTTGTTGTGGGGAGCACAACCCTTCATAAATGATACCAATCCATTATCAATATTAGTTTTTTCTCAGTAATAATAGGTGGGCATTAAGGTTAACATAACTAGGATCAATGGGCATAAAAACAAAAACTATATAGTAGGTGTGCTTTTCTTGTTAGCTGAACTAGCTGATGAGAAATGTTATTGATAGCCATACTTTGTTTAGTAATACTATCTGAAATCCATTTAGCCAAACTTTTTCTGGATTTCTGTGATTCATACTATGGACTTGACTAATACTGCTTTTCTGACTTGTAGATTAGGTGAGTTCCTTTTAAAAGAAATTTTGTGGGGTAGATGTATTCCTTAAATTTCAGGTTAATTGGCAAAGGTCATTAAATTGTGAAAGTTCCTTTGGTATTCTGATATTCCTTTTTAAAAAATGTTTGATCTGTTTTTTAAATATAGTGAATAAGTGTACAGGTTTTCGAGTCAGATCTGTATTCACATTTTAGTTCTGCCATTTACTGAGTTGTTTTTTGTTTGTTTGTTTTATTTTGCACAAGTTCCTTAACTGCATAGATTGTTTTGAGAATTAAATGAGATATCCTTGAAGTTCTGTGTAAAGTACGTAGCACAGAGTAGCCTATGCATAAATGATTACGTTTTGGAATTTTTTTTTTCCTTACCATTCACAATGATAGTCCTATTTAATATATTCTAATTCATACTTATTTCACATACCTAAGCATGTAATGTCTTTTAAAAAGTTTGAAGACCTAAGAATGGAAATGTTTAAACTTGGAAAAGACCATAAAAATTATCTACACAAATTTTATTTTACAGTTGAGGAAACTGCAGTTTGGGGAAATCAAAGATTTGTCCTTGACGTAAGCATTTGTCCTTGACTTAGCTAGGTTGTGGCATGGCCAAAACTGAAATTCCTATCTGTGTGTAAGCTTAATTCATCTAGAAAATGCACTTATGTATAAATATTTCATTCCTTGAAGAAATCATTAAGTGAAATGCTATTTCTAAAGTCTTAAAGTAGCACCTAATTCCCCGTGTATTTTTTCTAAAAGGAAAAATATACTTGTTTGGTTTAGTAAATTAAATGGTTCCCATTTGGGGATGTGAGTGTGTTGTTTTTTAATTCACAGTTGATTTAAATCCCTGAGGAAAGCAGGGATGATGAACATATATTCCAAATGTACCTATGGTTAAAATTCTTTGAATAATTTTTTTTTTTATGCTCTTTTAAGCCATTTGGGCAGTTTCTGAAATAAAATTATCTTCTTGGAATATCTTCTGGACAGTAGTACTATAAACCAAATAGATTTTAATTAGTAAAAAAATGAGTGATTTGTATCATCTAATGCACTACTTTTCTCTGTAGGACACAGAAGAATTAGAAAAAGAGATTAGAGAAGAGCTCCCAGTGAATACCTCTAAGGTCCGTCCAAAACAGGAAAAAGCTTTTTCTTTGAAGACCATAAGCACTAGTGATCCAGCTGAAGCGCTCATCAAAAACAGCCAGGTAACTTTCTGATAAGTAAGGAATAAAATTTTGATGACTTGAGAATTGTATTAATAGTAATATTTTATGGAGGCCCACGCTAAACGTTTTAAATACACCAAATTGCCCTTACAGCAACCCCACAAGAAAGGTACAACCCATTGTATAAATGAGTTTAGAGAAGTTGAATAAGTTGGCCCAAGTCCCATAACTATCAGATGCAAAACTAGAGAGAGCCACTAGACTGTTTTTTTCTGAAATATCTAGGCATACAAGGGATAGATGGCTTACAGAAAGTGACTGGTTCCACTTTCCCAGAAGCATGCACATAATATAAAATGACTATGGTCTGACCTCTCAGAATGTAGCATTTGTTTAAAATTTTCTGACAGTATCTTGAACTGTGTGCCTCTGTGGAAAATTTTGATATGCCAGAAGGGACCATTTTACAAAAGGTCTAGACCAGTGACACAAAGACCATAGCTCTTTAAAAGTCTGATTTCTAATTTGGTAAGTTATATCATATAGAAATTTAAGAAATATGAATGACCATGAAATTGTGCATGGTTCGTTTATATACTCATTCAAAAAATGTATTGAGGCCTTCCCTGGTGGCGCAGTGGTTGGGAGTCCGCCTGCCGATGCAGGGGACGCGGGTTCATGCCCCGGTCTGGGAGGATCCCACATGCCACGGAGCAGCTAGGCCCGTGAGCCATGGCCGCTGGGCCTGCGCTTCCGGAGCCTGTGCTCCGCAACGCGAGAAGGCCACAACAGTGAGAGGCCCACGTACCACAAAAAAAAAAAAAATGTACTGAGAACCTACCACAGTGCCACACACTAGTTAAGGTTCTGGGGACACATCAAAGAACAAAGCAGACAAAAAAATCTCTGCCTCTATGTAGGCTACATATTTAATGAGACAGCTTTACACAAGAACCTGAATTACTGTTAAGAGAAAGAATTTGTAACAGTCTGGTACTAAAAATCTTAACTATACTTCCTATTTGGACTTGATGCTTTTAATTCCCTGAGAGTATTTTGACATAAAAGAATGCAGTCTCAATACATACATAGGACTTCCCTGGTGGCGCAGTGGTTAAGAATCCGCCTGCCAATGCAGGGGACACGGGTTTGAGCCCTAGTCCAGGAAGATCCCACATGCCACAGAGCAACTAAGCCCGTGAGCCACAACTACGCCCGTGAGCCACAACTACTGAGCCTACGCTCTAGAGCCCCGGTACCTAGAGCCCGTGCTCCACAACAAGAGAAGCCCCTGCAATGAGAAGCCCGCGCACCACAATGAAGAGTAGCCCCCGCTCACCGCAACTAGAGAAAGCCTGCATGCAGCGACGAAGACCCAACACGGCCAAAAATATATAAATAAACTAATTTTTTAAAAAAATACATAAATTTAATAGTAAGACTGCAAAGGGTCACATGATATTTTGATGTTTTACTTAATAAGTCATTTTCAGAAACCATCTTGTAAAGGATATTTGAGTCCTTCTGTGACTTAATATAGGTAAGTGAGAGAGTAGCGGGGGAAAGAGATTTAAAATGAGTACTGAACTTTCGGGTATGAAATAAATACAGGAAACAGTATTAAAGTTGAACCAAGCAACATAAATGCAGCTTCAGATACCTGAGATGGGAAGGAATTCTAGTAGTTACCTGGGTGCACACCTGCCTCTTGTTTCCTTTCCCGTTGTGCTTTCTTGAACCCATGGAGCCTGGAAGAACAAGGGGCAAGAGAAGCATGACTTACCCTTGTTTCTGTATTCAAAGTAGTCATCACAGGTAGAGCTAAAGGGTGAGATGATCTCTTACTCATCTATGACAGCCTCAAGGCACTGTAAGTGTTGGAGTTTCTGTTGTTACCTGTCCTGAACATTCATTAACAGTCAGGCCTCATTCAGGCAACTCAGTTAGTTTACCTCTCTGCTCTGAGGTTGCAGAGGAGAAGGAAGATTCAAGAGTTCAGGCCCTACGCATTATGATTTCACTACCAGACTCAATAAAACTCTGACGATTTGGACCTGAGTTTTACTAGTTGCTTTAATAGATAAGACTAGTAGCCATAGTCTACTGTATCTGAGGCCATCTTTTTCCTTGGGGAGGAAACTGAACCTATTGCTGCTGCTGTTTGAGATATCCCTAACTCTTGAGAAGAACAAAAGGGAGTATCACCTACTGGTAGTTCAGAAATTTGCTATTTTCTTTTTGCCTTCACATGAAAAGGTTTTGAGGAGGTGAGAGTTAGTGGGAAGTGGGCAGAACCATTGAATACCAAAACATAAAAAAATTCTGTTACTTGTAATGAAAAAGAAAAATGTAAAAGGTAATGAAAATGGAATTATTCACTCTTATGTGAAATTCAGTAAATATCTTGTGATTTTACACATTTATCCATTTTTATCCCAACCTGTATTTGTGGATATTGTAAATAAAGACTTATTTGGTTATGTGTCACTAGAGGGCAGGCATGAGTTGTAGCGCTTCTGCTGATAAATTATTTGGCAACCGTGTTCATATTACTGCTATATAGCCTCTTGTATTACTATGATATTTATTTTTATTTGAAATTTTTAATGAAAATCTAATATAATTTCATTTCAAAATAGCCTATCAAGACTCTTCCACCTGCTATTTCTACCGAGCCATCTGTTATTTTATCAAAAAGTGATTCTGACAAGAGCTCTTCCCAAGTGCCACCGATGCTACAAGAAACAGATAAATCCAAGTCGAATACTAAGCAAAATAGTGTGCCTCCTTCACAGAGTAAGTAATTCTCATTTTTGGTTCTTTTGGTGTTCTCTGTACTGTCTATAAGTGTTACTATCTTAAAAGTCTAATGGATTACTTATTAGAGCATGCCTTTCATCCTTTGTGAAGATTCCTTGGACCCTTGTGGACCTCAGTTGGGAGGGCCAGGGAGCTGAAGTCACTTCAGGCAAGAATAGGTGGCCAAGGACATACACAGAGGAGGGCTCTGCCTGCCCTTACTTGCCCAGTCCCTCCCTTTTTCTGTGCACATGTTCTTGAGACTGCAAATTGTTCTGTGCCCTTTTTTTTTTCCACCTCTTTTTCTCCCTTTAGCTACCTTTAGTGTCCATTTTACCCACTTCACTGTTATTACTTAGATTGAGTCTTTTAAACAATGGTTTTTCTAGGTCAAAACTGATGAAATATCATCCGTATCATTAAACCAAATAATACAGAGGAAAGGAAAAGAGGAAGGCAGCCAGAGAATATCCTAAAAACATGTTACTAGAACTTGAAAATGTAAACATGAAATGTGAGGCATCGTTAGTGGATTTCAGAGCATGTTTTTATTGATACTACTTTCATATTTTTGAAACAGAACAGCATTTACTGTCCTCCTAACTTCTCTCTCTCTTCCCCCCCCCCCTCCCTTTTAGCCAAGTCTGAAACTAGTTGGGAATCTCCCAAACAAATAAAAAAGAAGAAAAAAGCCAGACGGGAAACGTGAATATTTTTTTTCCTGAATTGGACATGTGTTTGCAAACACTGTCTTGAAGATTATGCTGTTTATGCAATAATTTGTGAACATGTACAGAGTTTTATATAAATTTAAACCAATTTTTAAAACAAAACTGTGAACACAACCACCGTAAAAATGGAATCAAAGGAAAGTTAATTTATGAAATTAAGAGGTCAGCAGAATTGGAAGACACTTGGGGAAAATCTTTTCAATCTAACAAGAACGATCTTAATTTAAGAATATTATCCTGGTTTTACAACAGTGCCCTGTTTACAACAGATTGTGCCCTGTCTCATCTGCAGCTGAGGAATAAAGGATTCTGATTAGAGAGAGGGTTGCCTACATATTCGTAGGCAGCTTCTTGGATCTTATGCACGGAACTTAAACCATTTGAATCTGTTTTATGCTTAAATCAAAGTGCTTTGATCAAATGCATAATCTGCCATATCTTTACATATTTGTTGGTAGCAATTTGTATTTAAGAAATCACAAGTGCAAATAAAAGGTCATTTATCGTTTAACTAAACTGTCATGGTTTAGTTTACAATTTTTAAAAAGTTCTTAAAACATTCAAAATGCAGTTGACACTTGTATGGCTTATGAAGTTATTTTTGATAGTCTTACTTTACTTGAATTGTTCAAAGTACAGTATATTTTAAGTTAAGAAAGGTAAACTATATATTTGTTTTATACTTTTAAGGTTCAGACTCACAAATAATGCTCTTGTTGATGATTTGAAAACTTTCAGGCAAAATCCACCTTACATGTTTTCCTTTCCCTATTAGCAATTACTTCTTTCTCCAGCATCAACTCTTCTTCATTACTAATACTTTTTTGACTTTAAAAATGAAATCTTTCACAAACTAGTTATACAGACAGAACTTTGATTATATGATGGAGAGTGAAAAGCTAAAGTCAGACAGCTTTAATTGACATTGTCAAGACCTCCAGTTATCAGGAATACATTTTTTTACTGCCTTAACCTGTAGTGCGTAGAATATGCATCAATTTCTTGAAGGGGATTCGTGTTTTATAAGAATTTTCATGTAATTATTGCAATCGTGATCAAATAAGGAACGTTTCCTGCTTGAAACTGTATTGATTTAAATGATGTGTGAGATGTTTCACCATTTTCAGGCACTGTGTAATTCTATTGTAATAAACTGGCAGGTATCTTTGTAACTATAAATAGTGCATGCTCAGCCATGTACACTGTAAATAGCCTTTACCAAACGTGTTTGACAAGGACCATAATTAACATCACTTAGTGAATTGTGATAAAGAAAAAAAGCCATGATTTATTCGATGTGATTGGCTTAATTGTTTTCCTGTGGCGCCAAGAATGAAACTGTTTAACAGCTGTAACCAATGGTACTGATCTGTCCATCCAGTCTTGTCTTTATTATATTTGACTGTGGTTTGATAGTATTGCATTGTCACACTAGGAAAGCTAAAGAAACAAAATGCTTTTAGTTTTGCTGAAGACTGGCCTTATTAATGGACAGCTTTCCTAACAAGTGATTATTAACTTTTATCAGGTGTTAACATCTGTTTCAGGAACATGGCAGTATGTTTACATGTCAGAAGTTTTGTTTAATTCTATATTTCTAAATTGATTTGTTTAAATAAATTCAGCAAATGGATAGCATTGTTTTTATTTGCTTCAATATCGGGGTAAATAAGCTAAAGTGCCAGGAGTAGATTTCTTCAAATAACTGTGCTCTGTTCGCTTTATATAGATGCTTCCTAAAGAGATCCAAGGATTCCTACACTGCAGCACTTTGTAAAGGTATCACAAAGGAGAATTGAATAGGGAGTCTGTGTAATTTTAGAATGTGCCAAAAGATCTATGCTCAACAAATTTAATTGAACTCTCTCAACTCTACCTCACCATTTCTTTATTTTAGGATTGTGTTGGCTATGTCGAATGTCGGACTTTATTTCTCCAGCTTAGTATCTCTCATTCAACCACCAACACCAGGTGTTAGAAACACCATCTTTTGAGGGCAGATTCGGTGTGGAGACGGAGAAGTGCACTGCTAAATTCGGGTGGATCCAGGATGGAGATACCTGTCCCTTCTCTCTGGCTCAAGAACTAGGGCATGGATTTTTATGTTTTAAGAGATGGCAGCTATGAGTGATAAAATTAGTAAGTTCATTCTCTTACACATGCATGAGATGCAAACTCTTGCACAAAGTATCATTGTTCATTGCTCTTCACTTGTTCCATAAAGTTGTTTATGTGACACGAAAGCAGTTTCTGGCGTCTGAACAGAGGAACTGTTTTCCAGCATAAACTCAGAAGGCAATAAAATCAAGGTAGTGATTCAGGGGAGAGAGAGGAGCCTGTTGTCCTTTGGAGGCTTGGATTAGATGCTCCCCAAACCACTAGTAGGGAGATAAGTGATCCCTTCAGGCTTTGTCAGGGCTGGAGGGGACCCTTGTTCCGATTAGCAAACAAAGCCTCCTAGAGAAACTACTTAAAACTCTCCCTCATCCTGACCTGTCTCCCCGTACTTAACTGAATGAAAATCCTTCCCTGTTCTGGAGCAGGGAGTAGTGGGTTAGGAATTCCCCAGACTGTACCTCTCTGTATCCTGAATTGAGCAAAACAATAGTTGAGAGAGTCCAAAAAACAAGTATTGAAATAAAATGTCATTAATGTAATTGACCGTGTTTACTTTGTGCATGCATTTTATTGGGCGGGCAGTGGGAATGACTCATCTGAATCTAATGGTATTATTTCATAGGCTAATCCAGTTTGTACTTGGGTTAAAGATATTGAAGGGCAATATTTAACTACAGAGTTTAGTTTTTCTTAATTACAAACAGTCCTCTATTAATAGAGTGTGAAATATCTTTCAAAATTTAGTATTTAGGATGTCTAACTGATGTCTTAAGATGTTCCTATAAGCTCATTGCACAAACTGTAATTACTTTCCAAAAGACTTAGGGAATGCAAATATGTTATTTGTAAAATAACACAAACTGGAATTACTTTCCAGTTCATTGCACAAACTGGAATTACTTTCCAAAAGACTTAGGGAATGCAAATATGTTATTTGTAAAATGCATTGAGTATTGTAAATGGAACAAACCATTTTTAAGTTGCCCTCTACAGTTCTCTTATGGGAGGGCACTTCGCATCCTAAGCCAGTCTAAAGGCAATGACGTTTTGATGTTCTTGATGTTTCTAAACTGTAGGTTCTAAATGTTTCAAATGTTCTTGATGCTCTGAAACCATAGGTGTACTTGCAGGCTTTACCACTGGCAAGTCAAGTATTTGGAGTGAGGCATCTCTTGAAATGTCCCTGTTCGTGACACAGTGTTCTCTATGGGAACCATCTTCCATCTTACATCATCTTAGCAGTAGATGTCACTGCCACCAGGTGTAGTGTATCACTTGTATCAACCTTTTAAATTAAGGAAATTAAACTCAAATTTGGCATTAGGTATTAGTATGGCTGTGTCCTAAACAATAGTGACTTAATATAGAAGTTTATTTCTCTTGCATGTAAAAAAAAAAAGAGCAGGCCCAAGAAAGCAGGCCAGGGCTACTCTGACACTCTGCAGGGCCAGGCCTCCAGGGTCCTTCTGTGTTGCCCTTCCACATTCTCCACACGTGGCTCTCGTGTCATGGTTGCAGGCAGCTGCACTGGCTAGAAACCTCCTCTCAACATTTCTGCTCCCTTCCTTTAAGAGCACTTCAGTTTACTCACACCACACAGGCTTATCCACCAAAACTCACTCACTTGGTCCTACTAGCTACAGAGGAGGGTGGGAAGTCATAGTGTTTATCCTGGGCTGTCATGGGCCAAAGTAACATTTCAGGATTCATTACTGAGGAAGCACTAGAGAAGTGGGTATCAGGAACAGCTAGCGGTCTCCTGTCACAGGGTTGACCACGTTGTGTATATCCTGCAGCCAAGCGTCACTTCTGAGGTCAGGTTTTAGCTTTTCCGATTGAGCGGAAATTTTAAAATCTCTTGGATGTTGCTCAGAGTTGCAGCTAATAATGTTTCAACTTATATGTAGTAGATTGTGGAAGAAATTTCTGCCACTCAGTGACTGCTTGAAATCCTAGAGACCCAGAGGCTTCAAAAAACTTAGCAGCCTGCTCTCACACCTACACTGCAAGTATAGACTATAACAATTGTCAATAGAAGTTACCCTGGTGCGTAATGTAATCTTTAAAAAATTAAAAGTCACTGTTACTATTCTAAATACTTTAACAGAATGATTTCTAATCCTAGCATCAAGAAAGGTATATGAGGTGCATCGTAAGATGTTTGCTACCTACCTAATTAACAATACTGAGGTTCATGAATAGGCTAATCTGAAGAAAATTTTAAGCAGATTCAAGGTCATCCCCATGATAATGGCATTCTTTTTTGTATGTGTGCTTTCCTTTTTTATTTATTGTATCAAAGCATTCAAAATGAATATATGTAACATGTACATAAATTATAAAGCATAATAAAATGAACACCTCTGAAACCACCATTCTGCTTAAGAAATAGAACATTACCAGTAGGGGGATCTTGGGGGTGAGCTTGCCGTTTGTTGTTGTTAGGTAACAGGACCGAGGCGGGGTGTAGGGGTGGGCTGTGGAGGCATGGATGAAAATAGCTGCTCTCAGGCGCCCAGCTGGGCACAGCTCCTTTTCAGGGCCACAACTGAATAGGGGTCCCAGGTAACACATAACCTGATCTTGGAAGGGTGTCATGACAGCCTCGCTGCTACTGCTTCCTCGAGTCACTCCACTGACAGCTGTTGGGAAATTGTTGTAATAAATATGCATACGCACAGTGAATCTGAACATGAATAGTGCCCTCGGAGTTGCGGAGTTGCGTAGTGCACGGTTTACATGGCAGCCTTTCCACAGGGAAAGAGGTTAGCAAGGCTCTTTTCTAGACAGGAGCTTCCCCCAGGGTTTAGAAGAGCAGCATGTGTCCTTAGGGCGAAGGTTCCTTGCGAAGTTTGCTGAGGGGGCTGCAGACATTCTGAAAACCACCACAGGAGCTTCCCAGGGTTCAGAAGAGCAGCATGTGTCCTTAGGGCGAAGGTTCCTTGCGAAGTTTGCTGAGGGGGCTGCAGACATTCTGAAAACCACCACAAGGGTGTTTATTGGCAGGACAACCAGAGCTGTTAGCTACTTAAGACGCTGGAATTATGAATGATTTCTTTGTCTTCTAAACTTTCTTCAATAATTTAAAAAATATATTGCCGGGAAAATTCGGAGCTGTTTCCATTTCTCATCAAAACTGAAATGACCACAATAATGAACAATGGAAGAAAACCTACCTTAGCACTGGAACTAGGAAAGGGGCATCCAAATGCCAGAAACCGGGGGGCATTTCTATTATTAGCAATCAAAATCCAGAAATTTATTGAAAGAATAAAACAGGTATAATATCAGGAAATCTAACATTTCATTTAATCGCAAGATTAAAGCAGAAAAAGTACATGATCATGACACTGAGCTGAGGAAGTATGATAATCCAACAGCTATTCCAAATTTAGATTTTAAAAACTTGAAGTAGGTGAAATACTAAAGACATCCATTAGAGTCAGAGCAAGGCAGGGTTTCTTGCTAGTCAACATTGTCTTAGGTATGAACAGTTAAAAAAATGCTTACATTGGGACTTCCCTGGTGGTACAGTGGTTAAGACTCCGTGCTCCCAATGCAGGGGGCACGGGTTCCATCCCTGGTCAGAGAACTAGATCCTGCAGGCCGCAACAAAATATCCTGCGTGCCTCAACCAAGACCTGGCGCAGCCAAATAAATATTAAAAATATTAAAAAAAACCCATAGAAACCATCTGTATTTTTTAAATGTTTAAATTTAACATCAAATGTTTAAATTTAACATTTTTTAAATGTTTAACATCATCTTCTTTGATGTTGATTTAACATCAACATCAAAGAAGAGAGAGATCATTTTTCCCTGTTTGCATACCTAGAAAACCCAAGAGATTCTAATAAAAAGCTTATGAGCACTAAGAAAAGAATACACTAAAGTGGCAGATACACAAAACCAATAGAATTTTATGTAGTAGAATAAGCACCTAGAAAAGGAAATGAAAAAAAATCCAATTACATCACAACGAAAACTATGGGTTTTTTTGTTTGTTTGTTTGTTTGTTTTTGCGGTACACGGGCCTCTCACTGTTGCGGCCTCTCGTTGCGGAGCACAGGCTCCGGACGCGCAGGCTCGGCGGCCATGGCTCACGGGCCCAGCCGCTACGCGGCATGTGGGATCTTCGCGGACCGGGGCACGAACCCGCGTTCCCTGCATCGGCAGGCGGACTCTCAACCACTGCGCCACCAGGGAAGCCCTATGATTTTT